CAATATTAATAATCTTGTCGAGTTAAATTCAATTCCTGATTCTTGGTCCTCTGCCGTTATAAGTCTTAAATAAATAAATAAATAAATAAATAAATAAAAGAGAGACAAAGACCCTTTGGATTGCTCCTCTTACCGCCAGATTAGTTTATTGAACGTAGATTACAGAATTGTGGCTAAAGCAATGGCTCAGCGCCGTGAATCCGTCATTCACTCTGTCGTCTCGCCGGACCAGCCCGGATTTGTAAAATCTAGATATGGCTCTGATAACATTCGTAGATTACTGAATATTCTAGATCATTTACATGTGACCAAAAACCCCACTTTAATTGTGTCGCTTAATGCCGAAAAGGCATTCGACAGGGTTGAGTGGCCTTTTCTTTTCGCTGTATTCGAGACAGTGGCGTAACTTTGTTTTAAAAAGTGGTTGGGACGTGTGTAGGTGCGTGTGTGTGTGTGTGTGTGAGTGGGCGTGCGTGTGTTGGGTGCTAATAAAATGCTAAATCAGATATATGTACAATAACATTACGATGTAAATAGTACATTGGGTTTAATTTGTCGTTTAATGAGATTTAATATGTTGTCAGTGCAGAGACATTTCACGTGAATAAATACATAGATCGACGCTTTTATGTGTGTATGTTATTGGTCCAATGGTAGAACTTTTGCCACGCATCTCAGAGGTTCTGGGTTCTACTCGTACGTTTCGTTTTTTTTTCTCAGTAAAACCGAATATGTTCATCAGTGGTTGTGTGCATTTTGTTTTGTGATTTATTTATTTGCATTGGTACATCCGTGCCGCGAGATGTTTTAAAAAGTGGTGGGGACAATGTCAACCCTGGCAAAAGGTGGTGGGGACATGTCCCACCCGCAAATTACACATATAGAGAAGATAAATCTAGAACACAATTTTATTAACTTGATTAAACTGTTATACTCCCCCAGCCTATGTCGATGGTTAATACGAACCGGCTAATGTCTAGTAGACATTAACGTCAAGGCTGTCCTCTCACCGCTCTTATTTTCTTTGGTGATCGAACCTCTGGCTGCAGCCATGAGGGCAAATACAAGCATACTGGGTATTGGCTCAGATGAACATCGCATTTCACTTCATGCCGACGATGTGTTATTATATTTTAAATCCCCTGAGACTTCGGTTGATGCAATTCTTTCTATTATCGGAGAATATAGCACATTTTCAGTTAATAAATCTCACATTAAATAAATCTCAGGCCTTGTACTTGTATGCTCCCCCTGAAGCTGGTTTGGGTTCCCCGTTTCATCTAATTCCCTCTGGTTTTCAATATCTGGGAATAAACGTTACACCCAATTTGTGTCATTTATTTTAAAGCTAATTACACACCATTAATTACCAAAATTAGTCAGGACTTGTCCGACTGGCCAAATCTCCCCATTTCATTTCTGGGCAAGATTAAAATAATAAGGATGAACATTAATCTTGCCCAGAAATGAAATGGGGAGATTAATGTAATAAGGAAGAACATTAATAAAAAAATTATTTAAACTTCTTCAAACTTTCTGGTCAAAACTTTCACAAGCCAACTTAAAGTTTGTCTCGACAAACGTTTTAATCTAGTTACATTAATCTCCCCATTTCATTTCTGGGCAAGATTAATGTAATAAGGATGAAGCCCTGCTATTTCACTGTTGCTTTCTTTAAAAAGTTCAATTCCATCATATCAAAATTCACCTGGAATAAAAAAAAGCCTAGACTCAAATTCTCTACTTTTCTGAAACCCAGGGAACGAGGACGGGTCTCACTCCCTAACTTTTAGTTATATTTTTGGTTTGCCCAGATGAAAAATATGATATATGGTTAATTCTTAATAGAATGGATGGGTGGGTAGGAATTGAGTCTTTCGAGATATTTCCCAAACCTGTTATGGTCTTTACCATTAATTTACAGTGTACATAAAATTGAATCAGTGTCCAATATTTATACGGTATCAAACACTCTCATGGCATGGATTTTTTTTTTTAAGTATCTGAATATTACAAATATTTTATATTTAAAATCTCCTATTTCGCTCAATCCTGACCTACCCCCTGCTATTCAGAACATTGATCTTCAGTCAAGGCCAGTCTGAAATCATTTCAATTGTTAAAACAGCAATTTAATCTACCCAATAATGATTTCTACAAATTATTGCAACTATGACATTTTCTAGAATCACTTCTTAAGGACGATAGAATGTGCTTTGATCTTTCTGACATAGTATAAAAAACAGAAATCTTCCTTTTGGGGGAAGTTGAAGAATACAATTGTTTTTTCTATGTTATCTAATGTCGGGCCTTCCTCCTTTGACCCTCTGAAACTGATATGGGAGAAAGACTTTGAAACAACTTTCAGTGATGAGGCGTGGGTATCGGTCTGCTCCGGTGTAATATCGAATCAAGAGCAAAACTTTAAATTCATTTACAGGACTTATTTATTTAACACCGGTTCATCTCCATAAGATTTTTTCTAATGTTCCCCAATTTTGTTTCAAGTGTAAGTCTAATATTGGCACGGTGATGCATATGTTCTGGAGCTGTGACATGATCAAGGTGTACTGGAAAAAAATACATTAAATTCAGTGGTGGACAGTAACGAAGTAAATGTAATTCGTTACTGTACTTAAGTAGCTTTTTTACGTATCTGTACTTTACTCAAGTATTTAAATTTTGGGAGACTTTTACTTTAACTCCACTACATTTCAAAGTCAAATATCGTACTTTTTACTGAACTACATTTTCAAAATCAGTCGTTCCTTTTTATTTATGAGTGGATAAAAACGTAACTGGTCAAACGAGCCACCAATCACAGTACAGCACGTGCGCTTTGTTTTGAACTTGTCTTGGCGGTATCTACTAAGCGCGAACCAGAGCCGTTAAATATGAGAGTTGTGAACATAGATGGTTGTGAACTTGTGACAGTGATCTCACGGCCGCGCGGTCACGTTATTCGTGTAGCTCTCAATAGTTCCAAACAAATCGCGTTGACAATGATTTTAAGCGGGACAGAGAGCAGCAGCTATTATTCCAGCAATTATCGGTAAGTATTGACGCATAATGTACATTGCTTACGTTGCCACTAAAATGACTTGCATATAATAGCTTTTTTTTCTGGGGAGTAGCCTAGCAGAAACACTGCATTAATACGTGTTTGTGTTTAATTTGAGGGAAATTGGCTGCTCCCATAACCAGGGCTGCCAACTCTCACGCGTTCAGCGTGAGACTCACGCAATTGAGCCAATTCTCACGCTCTCACGCCACACCCCCGATTTCTCACGCTGAAGTGTCAACCCGGTCGGTCAAATGCCTGAAAGATAAGTTTATCTATAGGTCAACCAGTTGAGCCATTCGTGATCGACCAGTTTTACCGCAAATTAGTTAAAATATCCTGTAATCTAGAGCGAGCGTGCATGCGAGACAGATGTGTTAAACTCCTAGCGGCGCGCTCCTAACCTCGCACGACGGCAGAGAGGTAAGCGAGCGAAAGAGCTTGCGTGTCTTTCGCAACACAACAACCATTCATTAATAGATCGGTGTGCCAAGAGTGACATTAGTCTTCACTTAGACTGAGTTAAGCAAGAGTCTTGTGACAAATTATAATAGGACATTATAGCCATAAAAAAATCAAAGTACTTGGATACTTAAGTACATTTGAAGGCAAATACTTTTGTACTTTTACTCAAGTGAATGTTTAAAGGCAGCACTTCTACTTTTACTTGAGTAATATTTTACCTTGAGTATCTTTACTTTTACTCAAGTACATGGTATGTGTACTTCGTCCACCACTGATTAAATTGTTCAGAGGATAATTGCTAAATCTTTTGCTCTATCCCCGAGTATCTATCTCCTGAATTGTAAAGCTGAATTACCATGATCTGGAATGTGTTTTACATCTTTGGAACCTACTTAACGAGAAAATGTACACTTCTGTACCTCATGTCCCTTCTGTTAATATGTGTATGAATCAAATTCCTATTTTCCATCCTTTAGAAAAACTAACTTGTGACTTACGGCGGAGGTCTAATGATTTCCGCCGTATTTGTAGCCTGACTTCGTCATACTCATATATTCTAGTCAGTATGAGAGTCTGATCCTGCTCCATAGGGTTTGATTATGAGGCGTGTCTTAACCGAACCAGGAAAAAAAAAACTCTGCACTCAATTGGATAGACCTACAACCAATCAGAGCAACGCAGTAAGTGACGTATGTTGAGCGACGCATAGTTGTCAACAGAACTCAACTGCACGCACGCTGGAAGAAGTAGTAAAATAATGAGTGTTGATCTTTTACTTGGTCCTCCATGAGTGCGACCAAAGGAGAAACCACAACGACCACAGGGCTTTCATTGCGTTCCCTCTTCTTAGGGACCATCGGAGCCAGCTGATAAAATAAACTTTTGCCGAATCCCGTAGGAAGGACGGCAAACACATCTTTCCGATCGACAAATGCCTTGATAGCAGTTCTCTGTTCATCTTTTAAAATGAATGCGCTGTCGATTTCTTTTACATCTCAATTCTCAATACATCTCAGTTCTCCAGCTGCAGTGATCTCTGAGGGAAACCAGTTCAACCCAAGCGCTCTTTGATGACGTGATGATTACGTAACTGCAGATCATCTGTCCATCATCGTATAAAGCCCGCCCTGGCAATTTGATTGGCCCGACGATTTCTGAACCGATCATAATTACTCCTCAATGGATCGAGTCCAGACCGAACTTCCCGACCAAAAAAATGTTGTGGGCATAGTTCGGCCTGGCATCCAGGCTACCGTATTTGGTCTCCTCTTAGGGTTTTCTTGAGAATGTAAGTTGAATGGCTCTGGTTGTTTTTAGTTGTTTTTTTTGCTATTACCCTTCACCCGATCCTTAAACTACCAGTTGATGGATGATTGTATATGCCGCCATGAGACACCTGTACCACGGTTTTGATATTGTAAAACTATAAAAACAATTCTTTAATAAAAAAATACAGCACTATTCAGTCAGCAAATAAATGTCCAAACAATTTTTTATTTTCATTTACCTTGGAAACAAACAGAACATCCCCTTTTGTTACAATTTGACACTATTATCTGTCTTGAACTGTTTTATGTATTTTCTTTGCACTTGTGTAAATAAACTTCAAATCCAGTATGTTTCCCCAGTCCAATAACATATGTGCATCTGTTGTCTGTAAGTGCCTCTTGCTGCATCGTTATACAACAAATTTGAACAAAACCAAACATGCAAACCACAAAGTCAGTCAGCAAGCAATTTAAACATATTTATACGTGATATTGCAGTTATGGCATCTGTAGGTGGGTTCTCACAGAGAGAAATGGTCGCTGATCGGCGGTTTCTCCACCCACTGGCCGTAGCCCTTCCTTTCCAGGTAAGACTTCAACACACTCTTTGCTTCCTGGTACGGCTTTGCCATCATCTTGACGTTCAATAAAGAACGAGATGATCAATATTAAAGCAGCAGCCATTAAGAAGAGTTATTTTTAAAGCTGGACAACTAATAAAAGTGACTTGATATTTTGTCAGTAATTGCATGCAAAAAAAAAAAGAATAAAAAAGAAATAAAATAAAAAAATCGGCAGAGTGGTTTCCAGGGTGTTGCTAGGGTGTTCTGGGTTCCCATTTGGTTATAGTCGTTTTGTGCTGGCTTTATCTTAATGTAGGACTGCACGATTAATCCAAATATGTCACAATACCAAAATTATGACTTTGATACGATACTCGACTAGAATATATTGACACCAATACTACAGCAAAAACCTAAAACAACAGGAAAAGTAAATGGGTGGACGTTATGATCAAAATCTTATTTCACGACATAAGTAATTTTATTTAACAATATCTCAAAATAGTTATTTTTGTTATTTTATTTTGACTTGGGCTCTAAAAATAAGAACAAAGATGCAAATTATAAACATTAGGAGAAATTCAGTATAAGAAAGAGTAGTTTAAACCTTTCTTACACTGTATTTCTCTTAATGTTGGTAAGAAATACTACACTGTTCATGGCTTACCACGCTTAAATCTTTGTTACAAGCACGTCCCGTTTATTCATGTTTCTTTATTGCTGTAAAGTGTCAATAACTTAAAGCAGTGCTGCACTACGCGGATATTAAAGGAGAACTCCGGCGCAAAATGAACCTTTGGTCTAATTACACATTGTTACCTAGTCAACCGTTATCTGAGATTTGTTTTCATGATTATCGAATGTAAATAGTTTTATCTCTAAAAACAGTTTAGCCTATAAAGCTAGTATAACGGTAGTATATTGGGCATAGTGTAATGACAAATAAAAATCGCTTGTTAATACCACTAACAAGGCTGAAAATAGCCCCACACTAACACGGCAGCATAATGAGGGTCCCTACCTTCAAAACCGAAGCATTGAGAACTTTGTCAGTGTCCAGACAGTTTAATAAGAAGATATTTTAAACATACAGTCAACTTCGCGTATACAGGCAGAAGCCATCTTTGAAAAACAGTCTCTACCAGTCGATCTACGAACGCCGATCCAAGCCTGCTGTTCGCGCTCACCTTATCACAACTTATAGCTCGTTCACATCTCACCAGCGCACTTGGATCGGCGTTCGTAGATCGACTGGTAGAGACTGTTTTTCAAAGATGGCTTCTGCCTGTATACGCGAAGTTGACTGTATGTTTAAAATATCTTCTTATTAAACTGTCTGGACACTGACAAAGTTCTCAATGCTTCGGTTTGAAGGTAGGGACCCTCATTATGCTACCGTGTTAGTGTGGGGCTATTTTCAGCCTTGTTAGTGGTATTAACAAGTGATTTTTATTTGTCATTACACTATGCCCAATAGGGGTGGGAGAAAAAAAATCGATCCATCGATGCATCGCGATTCTCTCTCCAACGATTCTGGATCGATTCTGAGAATTCCAGAATCGATTCTGAGCTTAGTTTTTAACCAGATGTGCGATGACGTTTAGTTTGGTTTAGAAACACCCGTATTCTGCTTGATTCCAATTCCTCACACACATACACCACTCGAACCTTCCGTAAAATAATCTTTCATAATCGCTCGGAAAGGTTGAAGCGAATTACAAGGACATTCACAGGCTTCATTGCACAGGATACGCTGTGAGAGACGCGCGCTTTCTTTGATGTTACACTTGAAGTGTGCTGTCTCGCCCTTCGGTATTTTCCTTACAAATGCTCTACGAAGTCATCATTTATGTGGTTTGGAATGCAGTGGACTTATATATTTAAAATATGAACCTCACTAACAGAAGGCTGCTTTCAATTTCAAATGCTGACGCGCGCTTTGTTTGTGAGACTGCTCGCGCATGTGGCTGTGCGACTCCGTGTAGTGGTTTAATGTACTTGTGCAAAATTAACGTAAACACAGCCAGTTATGTCTTAAGGGATTAAACGGACAGGACACACCGCATAACTTCTTTTATTTCAAAAGAGATGCGTGAGTGAATACAGCTTAATAGATCTCCCGCAGTCTATGATGTCATAGTAAAAAACAACGGTAAAGATGAAGAAAAATGACTCACAGTTCTTGAATGGAAAACGTTCAGATAATCTATAGGCTACTGAAAGCTCTTTTTGTTTATTATTTGTTATATTAGTTTAAATATCTTAACATACAACTGTTTTAATAAAAAAATATTAATTTGTAATTATTTTTAAAAAAGTACTTAATTACTTATGTAAACTAATGAATTAATAGGGGGGGGGGAGGTAGATAAAGAATCGTTCTGGAATCGGATCGTGACTCCCAGAATCGGAATCGCATCGGATCGTGAGGTGACCAAAGATTCCCACCCCTAATGCCCAATATACTAGCGTTATACTAGCTTTATAGGCTAAACTGTTTTTAGAGATAAAACTATTTACATTCGATAATCATGAAAACAAATCTCAGATAACGGTTGACTAGGTAACAATGTGTAATTAGACCAAAGGTTCATTTTGCGCCGGAGTTCTCCTTTAACATACCAGCGTAAATCATGGTTTGTTTCCTCACATTGGATAAAACCTATGGTATTTAAGACCAATTCAATAAATTAGGCCCTAGGAACTTAAAAAAATAAAAATAAATAACACATGCAATAAAATCATAAAAACTGCAATTAGATTCCCCCCCCAAATCATGCAGTGCTAGGCTAATTCAGTGCTATAGCTGAATGTAAATAAGAAAGAGTGCAGTACCTTGGCCTCCCTGTACGTGACAGCGGTGAGCAGCTCCTCTCTCTGGGCTTCTTTAGCTACCAAATTAAATCGACTCAGCATCGCTGCCTTGCAAAGACGGCTGGCCAAGGCTGGACTGCTCTTAAACGGAGAGCTGGAACAAACACACAGATATTAATTTTATTTTTATTAGCGCTATGTGATGAGAATCTTTAGGCAACTCACGATTCCATCCGATTCTGATTCCGGGACTTAAAGGGTTAGTTCACCCCAAAAATGTAAACTCTTGTCAGTAATTACTCTCCCTCATGTTGTTAAACCCCGTAAGACTTTCGTTCATCTTCGGGACACAAATTAAGATATTTTAGATTAAATCTGAAAGCTGGATCACTCCTCCATAGGCTTCTTAAGGGATCAAAACTGGCCGGCCCAAAAGTTATGAAAGACATCGTTAAAATAGTCCGAGTGACGACAGCGGCTCAACCTTAAGTTTATCAAGCGATGAGAATACTTTTTGTGTGCAAAAACGAACAAAAATAACGACTTAATTCAACTATTCCTTTCCTTCTCTGTACGGCCGTGATATTTCACGTAGTGAAACTACGCAAAGCTTCTAGGTTGTACGTCACGGATCACACACATGACCAGCGTCGGCCAATAATGAGCCTGCGTGTGACGTACAACACAGAAACTATGCGCAATATCACTACGTGAAATATCACGGCCCACGGAGAAGGAAAGGAATAGCGGACTCTCCTGCTTCACTCCACCTCTCCTTCCCCGCTTCCTCGTCTGAGATTTCCGCTGGTAATCACGGCCCAGCCCACGTTGTCACGGTATCAACTCTCTGCAGTTATCCAAGTTCGGTGCTGGATAATCCATATTTCGAAGAAGCAGCAGGTCGTCCCGGTTGTACCACAGAATTTCGACCCCATAGCTCCCAGATAACGCCCAGAGCAGCAGCAGCATCAGCTCGCACTTCCTCATCATGAAAAGTGTACTTTACAAGCTTTGATCTCACTATAATAATGATGTCCAGAAAGGGCAAACATTCATAGAAACCGTGATATTACTAATTTAGACACTTGCACTCGGGAACACCTAAATAACTAGATAAACTTAACACGCAGCGAGACGCTCTCCACCTGTCGCCATTACAGCGTCAGCGCAATCATGTCCACGTTTTCATTTCATATTTTGGCATGATAAATATGTCAAATATCGATCAAGAATCGATCTTTTTTCCCTATGTATTTCTGCAAACATTGAACGAAATCTGATTGACGTTTGTCTTATTAGTAGTCTTCTCCACTAGATGTATCCTCTTATTTACCTAGCGCGTTGTTACAGCGGGATCCTGTCCTTCATGCAGTGTTTAACATGGCATGTTTATCATTTGCACGCGTTTTCAATCCTTGCCAATTTAAGCATTCAAGCGACAGAACTCCCGTGTGCTGTGTGGAAAGTTTTGTGCGTGCACACACCAGAAGCACACATAGCTGCACATCTCAGACAGCGTGCAAATAATAAAATGAATTCTCTTTCACGTCTCCTTGTGCTTAAATGGACATATCTGAAAATGCCCGCCTTCGTGAGTATCCAAAGTATACAGTTCGGTTATGGCCTAAAGTGAACAATAGAGAGAGAACGCATTTGCTTTGTAGTTTAATTATTTGTTCATTTTTTATTAATGACTGTTTACTTGTTTATTAATTATTTTTTTTTATATATATATTAGTAGTTTTAGCTCTGCTATTGAAATTGGAATTGAGAATTGTTAAATTTCACTGGTATCTTAAATTTTGGGTGGCATAACCTTATTTATTATACAATACAAGGATAAATGGGTGAAAAACAACAAAAACAAGAACTATTTTATGAATTTATTACTTTCTTTGTGTTGGGGCCAGTAAAAATTGAATCAATGAAATCAGTGCAGTGTTTCCCCTACAATGTATTTAGCAGCGGCGCAGCGCCGCCACTGGATTTTCAGCGCCGCTGCAAAACCTTCACATGATCAGTAATATCACGACCTTCACTTACACACCTAAAAACACTGAGACATGGCGACCGCCGGCGCTGCTAATGCGGTGGCTCTGAATCCACTTGTTGACAAGAAAGGAGGAAAGAGCCACATATGGAAATATTTTCGATTAGGCTAATGTCATGTTGCCATAAGGGGCCGTTCACATAGCGCGTTTTTCTGCGCGTGCAAATTCGTTATTTCAAATGTAGGCGCATGGGAAGCGCGCTCGTTTTTTCCAGGCCGCCTCCGTTCATGGTTGCATTGCAACGACAGACGCAAGCGCTTTTGGAAAGGAGAAATAGGCGCTCTCCATGAGGACGAGGAAGAATCAGCAAAGAATTAATTGATTTCTAGCCCTTGCATTAGCTTTACTACTAGATATATTTATGGAGATGAGAAATAAAAAGCCGCACTGTACAGCTATGATCAGCTGTTCGGCCAAGCTTTCGATATTGTTACGGAAAGGCCGAAGCTGATCAGTTGGTTTTTGTCACATGGCCTGTTGAGATGAGATGTTTTCATCTCGCCACGTGCGCCTACAATTGAAATAACGAATTTGTGCGCAAAAAACGCGATATTTGAACGGCCCCTAAAGTGGACTCGGGTGCGGTTGTATCGGGGTAGTTTTGCGAGTAGGAGTACATGAGCACAGTATTGGACCGACACCCGAGTAGGCTACTGTTTAACTCATTATTAGTCCATCAGAAAAGCAATTGTAGGCTTATTCTTGGCTGGATAACTCTTAGCAGGTTTAAAAAGCCTTTTAAAATTAAATATGAACACAGTTTTGGATTAAATAAAAGTACAGTCAAGTCAAATAAAACACGTTTTATCTCCTGTATTGTTTGGTAACACTACAATAAGACACCATTCATTAACATTACTTAATGCGTTATCTATCAACACATTGAGTGAACAATATATGAATTAATTATTTACAACATGAATTAATGTTTGTAAATGTTATTTAATACAAACACTTGATTGTTCATGTTTGTTCACTTCATTCATTGTGCATTAAATAATGTTAACATAAAACTTTTGATAGAAAAATTAAGGTGTTCACAGATTGGGTGTGGCCTTTGCCATTAAGATAAAATTTTCAATAAAATCTAAATGATCTTTTTCTGAGTTGTGCCATTTCATTTTTCCCCTATCAATATCTACCTTATAGCTGAAAATTAACACAAAACAAAAAAGTGAAACATCCTGTCTAAAATTATAAAATGAAGGTTTCTGTTTGTGACCAGTTCAAGGTACGTGCTGCAATAATCATGCCTTGAATCTGTTGATGGTATGTCATATTTGTATGTCTCAAAATGTCCATTCCACAAAACTTGCCAGAAGTCATGGTTTAAGTCATGGGTTATTTTTAAAAACAAATTCTTCCGGAGGTACATGCCCCCGGACCCCCCCACGCGCGACTTGGTAACATCCTCCAGCACGTGACAGCACCGCTGCTGGAAAATATTCTAGGGGAAACACTGCAGTGAATCGAAAATCAAATCCAATTGAGATTTTGTGAATTGGAATCGAATCGGGACATCTGAATCAATACCCAGTAGGGGTGGAACGGTACACAGAAGTCACGGTTCGGTTCATACCTCGGTTCAGACATCACGGTTCGGTACGATTTCGGTACAATGGAGTGAATAGCAAAACAAAAAGGCAGAAGGCTTTTTTATAAATGTCTTAAGCCTTGTATTTTTTATATACGTTTTATTAATAAAGGCATAGAACCAGTTTATTTGTAGTGCACCGACAGTAGTTTTATATAATTAGTTTATTAATTAAATTATTAAAAAGACGAAAAGACCATGAGATATGTTTGGTAATTGTACCTGAATGAATTTAAAATTAATTTGCTATTTCAGATCAATATATTTGTTTTCCTTCATTTTAATTAACCCTAACTTTATTCTCATCTGAATGATAAATAATTGATTTCCGTATAAAATAATACTACCATTAAAAACTTTTGTTAACAGTTGTAGGTTACAGTTTGACATGAGTTTAGAGTGTGACAAAAGCACAATGTTGTGTTTTATTGCAAGTGTACACAAATATAAGTAAACAATTTGCCGTTTTAATGATGTCCTGTATGAAAAAAATGACGGAGTATGTTTTTATGTTACCACTGTTCGATCGCCCGTGCCTCTGTCACACACACACACACACTATTCAATCGCGCGATTCGCGCCCGCGCCTCTCTCTCTCTCTCGCACGCGCACGCACACACACACACTCTGTTCGATAGCGCGATTTGCGCCCGCGCGTCTCTCTCTCTCTCTCTCTCTCTCTCTCTCTCTCTCTCTCTCTCTCTCTCTCTCTCTCTCTCTCTCTCTCTCTCTCTCTCTCTCTCTCTCTCTCTCTCTCTCTCTCTCTCTCTCTCTCTCTCTCTCTCTCTCTCTCTCTCTCTCTCTCTCTCTCTCTCTCTCTCACACACACACACACACTCCAGCATTGCAATCTTGATCGCAGCCTGTTCATTGCTGCGTTCACAGTCACACCAAAAGCGAATAGAGCGAAATTTATCGCTATTTAAGAGGGTTTTTTTTTTATTTGTACCGTGTATTCTCGGTGCAAATTCGTGCACCGAACCGTGACGCCCGTACCGTTTCGGTTCAATACGAATACATGTACCGTTCCACCCCTAATACCCAGCCCTAATGAGAATAACCAATAAGAAGCATAAAACATCTGGATGCATTAAAGTCATGAGAAGCATATGGCACTCACTCTTCGGTAGACTTTCCCTCCAGAGCACTGACCATCTCCATCATAAGGTCTCCTTGGCTCCAGTTAAGACTAAGGGACCTCTGGGTAGGGTGTGTGTCTGGAGGCATGGCCGAGGACACCAGGCTGATGTGTGGCCGGTAGACGCAGTAGTACAAGGGAAGTGCTGAGGTGATGCCATCAACACGCTGGTTCACGGCCATCTCTATACCACGAGTGTCACTGCAGCTGCCGTCACCTGAGCACATCAAGGATACCAGGAACAAACTGCATTAACAGCACCTGGACTAATGGTTTTTATTTTTTGATTTATTTTTTAGGGGTGTGACGATACCCTCATGTCACGATTCCATACATATCACGATACTGAACTCACGATACGATATTATTGCGATACTCCAAGACATAGTAAAAGGTTAACAAAAAATGTACTGTTGATTAAAATGCTAAATATGATATTAAATTGTGGTTTTAAATGAATATGCTTGCACTCTGTCACTGACTAGATACATTTAAAATAAATGTAGGCCACTTTTTACTGGTAACATAAGACATTTGGCATTATTAGGACCCACAAATATTCCCCCATTGCATTATTATACATTATAATCAACATTATATATAGTAGTTTAAAGGCACACTGCGGAACTTTTGGCCACTAGTGGCGCTCGACCTGTAACTTTCACGTCTAGCGTCCCTAGAGGCCACAAGCTCCGCAGCACTGTCGCAAAAGTCAACAAAAAGTCAACCGGTCCGCCCATAGACAGTGGGTCAGCCTCCCGTGTCTTTAGATTGTGTGTGCTTGCAGTGTTTGAGGCGGGCAGCCTGGCCGCGCTCGATTCCCTTATAGCAGTCTGCTGAGAGAGAGCGAGCGGCTTAGTGCTAACATGTCTGTGAGTGAATGTGGGCGCGGGACGGCGGGCACATTTACTGCACTAAAATCACCGTCGGCCTGAGCTGACTGTAACTTATGTGTGTTGGTTTCGTTTTACAGAAACCGTGGGACATGTTGTGTGTAGTGTTTGTGGGCACTGAGTCGTGGGAACGTTCACTACATTTAATGTACATTTGACATGAGTCGATTTTATTTGTGCGAGCCCTGCACTGTGGCGGGCTGTGTTTGTGTGTAGAAATGAACAATGGGCTGTGGGCATTTTATTACACTCATAACACCATCGGCTGTGGCCGGAATACCAGAAAATACTACACTGCTTATATGATTTATCTGTGTCACCTTGGAAACGGCATTTGTGTGCAGGCAAGCGTTAGCATCGGTCGGGCACCCATCCTCCTCCTGTAGCTCACGCCAGCGAGCGAACGCTGGACCAATGGTGATCCTCGTCCTGGCTTTTCATTTGTCACTATGCCTTTTTCTTTTTTTTAGTGTCCTCTGACAAAACCTTTGCCTTCTTCCTTGTAGCTGTTGGTTCGGCCATGACGAAAACATACAGACGGCAATCAAACGCGAGTTGAGCACTCACGTCAGAATCTGAGGAAGTTGTGGGTGGTGGGGGAAGTGACGTATGCCGTAAAGCGGTCGAATTTTGTAGTTCTTTTTGTGCTCGGGTTCCTACCCGAACCCCGAAGTTACATATTGCTAGGAAAAGCGATACAGACACCTTCAGGCTTCGGCAGACGTGTCATTCAACCTATTGTAAGTCGATGTACCATCTCAATGGGTTTTGGTAATATATTATAAAGGTTGAAAAGTTCCACAGTGTGCCTTTAATGTAGTCTAAAACTTTTTTTTGTATTGCGATATATTGTGGCACGATATTAGCCTGGGAAAACCCAGACAACTTCCGGCAAATTTAGATTTGCTCTGAAAGCTAGTCTGGCAAAGAGCTCATTCAAGCCCATTTCCAATCCGCCGAAATCGAGGCACCAATCAGAAGCGTCGGGGCGGGCTTTACAGGATGACGACAGCGCTGGGATTTTGAAGCAGATTTTGTAGCCGACATTACAAAGATGGATGCCGCCGTCGAACATCACTCGTTCCAATCAGCTATCGCGTCTGTTTTAAGCCATTTGAACGTTTCCTTTTAGTTAAAAACCGAGCAAAGAACAACACTCGGAGATGTGTCTCCGCCGCTCTGCATACGTCATCTCCTTCATCGCTCTGATTGGTTTAGGTCTATCCGCGACGTCCGTTGGTGACGCCCCTCTGGAAATGATTTGTCTATGACGCTTTGCCAGACCATAACTCAGTTACAACTGAGAATGGTCTGGTTTTAACCAGGCTAGCACGATATATTATTACACCCCTATTATTTTTTAAAGAGGACCTATTATGCTTTTTCACGTGTTTATCTTTCTTTACTGTGTAATGTTGTTTAAGGATGAAAAAGCTCTGCAAAGATACAAAGTCCCTCCAGCGCGAGTTCTTCTCTATATCAGTGCGTGACGTTCCTGTTTCCCTCAAACGCCTCCCATTGTAGTCTTGAGTTTTCTTCTGGGAACGAACACTAATATACCGTAAACTGTCTGCTGTCAACAGAAGAGGCTTTAAAGGGGTCAGAAATCCAAATTCCCTTGATCTTATAACATATATAAGAGGTCATTGTACTAGAAAAAACATTTTATTACACTGTCACTATCGCTGTTATTACAGATAGTTTGACCTTTCCTGAGTATGTATGCGTTTTTAACCTAAATCACAAAATAGTCCATCTATGAAGGATGTAGGCTGTCAAACATTTATAATAAACTGTTGGCTTTTGGCCAATCATATCAGTGGTACTTCCGAGTCTACAATCAGCCACGCCTATTTAAACCATGTGTTTCGATGAGGGGGGTCAAAACAGGACAAAAAATAGCCTATTACTTCTAAATTAAGATTTATTTATTTTTTATGTAAAAACCTTGGTATCATTATAAGTGGACCAAAATAAAATAAAAAGGCAGTTCATGACAGTTTAAGGGCTCACTGCGGTTCTATGCCGAAAAGCTTGATGGTTAAATGTTTGAAAATGAATTAAGAGAGCAAAATATTAGTATTGTAATTTTGCAGATACATTGTAAAATAAAATTATTGTTATATATTTTTTTAAATACTCTTTTTTATTTTACAGTGAAACACTGCAATATTAATTAGGGCTGTCAATGTGAACACGTTAAAGCATGCGATTATTTCAAAATAATGGCAATAATTGTTAAAATATTATAACACAAATAAATTACTGAAGCACATTTAAATGCATCATTAAAGTAATATACGTCACGCAGTTAGATGATCTTGGGAATCCGGCGTTTATCACACTGAGCATGATCTGCAATGGCGCAAGCATCTGTAACCCTGGTATGTGGAAATTTCTATTCTAACCCTTTAGTCCGGGAAAATGTTCCATCCAATAATCCAGTAATTAAAGTTTTGATGGATGAGGATTGCAATCAAGGTAAAGACAATTGCAGTGACATACCGGAGTCGTACAGTATGCAGTGCACTGTGTGTGTGTATCGATGCACTGATTGCTCTTTTTATTTATGCACCTTAAGACACGTTTCACTATATACACGTTGTTTCCACACACATTCAGGATAGTGTTTTTATCTGTCATGTTTATGTCATGTTGCTGTGTTTAGTAATTCTGAATGGATCCGTGTCTGTAGTAGGCTTTTTTGGGGGGCATTTCAATGTGGTCCTGTTCAGTATCGCAACTTGACTTGTCTAAAATGTAAACACGGTCTTTGCTGTTGCACCGTACACATAATGTATACTGAATTCTGGAAAGATTGTATTAATGGGTGCTTTGGTGTGCATACATTTATTAATTATATGGACTTCTTATATAATTTGGTTATTTGGTGTCCTTTTGGAGTCTTTTTTGGAAAGTCGAACGTCGAAATGAAAACCACCATTCTGATGCTGGATATAGCAAATGATGACAAAATGAACGTGTTAAACAAGATAAATGGTGGATGCTTAATTTCTTGATAAGTGTGTGATTAATCGCATTTCAAAATTGTAATTTATTGACAGCTGATATATTTCAGTGCTAGTCTCAGCATAAAAAGTATGAGAGAAGGGGTTTCTTTTTTCTGCAAGAATGTACAACATCCATTTTTCTTATCATATACCATTAGACTAGAATGTGATACATTATTCTGTATGTATTACATTCCTTAAGGGGGTCATATAATGGTGCATGCACTTTTACAAGTTGATTGTACTGAAATGTGTGTTGGCAGTGCCTGTACACAACCATCATATAATGATAAAAATCCATCCAGTGGTTTTGTTTTAATCTCCTTATATGTTTTCCCCTGCCTCAAATCGAGCCGTTCGACCGTGTGACGTCACACGCTCGGAAGCCCCTCCCACGATTGTTGATTGACAGGAGCGTCTCAACACAGACCCGCCCTCGCGGGTGAGATCAGCTCCATGAGAGAGCTGTCAATCATAGTCTGCGCGGACCGGCGCGGTCATTGTTGATATGCTGGAGCACTGTCTATGAGCAGAATGGCGTCTAAGCGATTGTGGTGTTCTGTTCTTGGGTGTAATAACGAACACAGTCATTTTAATGTTCCTAAATCCGAACCGCTGAAGACGCAGTGGCTGAGTTTGTTTTCGAAGGGAATATTCCCCACGAGCAACGTCAATGCTTTCATATTTGCGCGAATCATTTCTCACCAGACTGCTTTATAGACGAGGATCAGTATAAAGCTGGATTTGCTAAGCTGCTGCTCATGAAAAATGGATCGGTAGCTGCTACCAGATATTCGTGTTCCTGCTGAATCTCCAGAAGAACGGAAGTGAGTGTAACGTTTTATTAAACTTTATATTAATATATTAATCTTTGCAAATCGCTAGCTGCACGCTTCACAATGAATGCGTCTAAGGTTTACACTCAGGGTACATTACGGCATGTTTTCTATGTATGACGTTCTCAATATAATTCATAATCCCACGTTTATACTGAACAACGCGTTATGGTTATTGAGTTACAAATGCGCCAGAGCTCTGGTGTACGCACAGAACAGAGAGGCGGAGTCAGCAAAGCTCATTATCATTTAAAGTCATATGCACTGAAACGGCGTGCTGAAAACAGAGCTGTTTTTGACCAGGTAAAATAAGTGTTTTCTTACAATACTAATGAGAATTTTTAATTAAAGTATATTACAAACTTTTAATTTAGACCCTAAAGAATCATATTAGCTTGTACAAAAATGGCATTATATGACCCCTTTAACAATGGTTCAATCTGGTGAAATGTATATCTCATTGGTCCATACTGTGATGCTCCCCTCATATTCAGTCTATATATGACAAATAAAAATTTGACTTGTGCAATCTCCTTCAGCGCTGGGTAAATGTTCATTCAACCACTAATTGATAGGGGTGTAACGATACACAAACCTGACGGTTCGGTTCGTCCCACGGTTTTGAGGTCTCGGTTCGGTTCGGTTCATTTCGGTGGGGTGGGGGGGGTTTAGAAAGCTAAAATTGCTTTTGTTATTTATTAAACAGTGCTTTAATGAACAAATTGTGTCCTTGTCTTTAAATTAATTCAATTACAAGTAAACGTTTCTCAAGGATAACAAAATTATCTGCTAATGCTGTAAACTACAGGCCTTACTTGCACATTACTATAACATTAAAGCTTAACAACAGAGCCTAGACTTTTAGCCTAAATGATATAATAATAATCAACACTCAAATAACAAATTGTATGAAAACATGTAAACTGCACATAAGGCAATTTTTGCATTAACATGTTTTTACTCTAATTTGTTATTGTTATATAATAATTTACACAGTTGTTGTTATTTTCATGACAACTATTTTAAACATACATTAAATAATCAAGATATCATAAACAGGTTAAGTAAAATATAATATATAGGCTAATATATGGCATTTATTTAGTGAAAGAGTTAGCAAACCAGCAAGCTGTGGACACTGAATGACTTGCCTGAGGTAAATATAAAGCTAAGTGAAAAACTAAGCGTTTTATTGACGTATTTCCACTGTTGAAACACTGATTGAGTGTTTACACGAGTTATGATGCCTTTCAGTAAGTATACTGTATCTTTCAACATACCTTCGGGTGTCCATTCATGTTTATTCTGTAACTGAGGAAGAGATGATCCGCATGCATACAGTGATATCTGTCACGCCACATCTAAGAGCGCCAAAACGGCATTTATTGTTTGCATTTCGTGATCAAATAGACATAATTTGAAAGATTACACCTTGCTTATTATCAAAAGTAACAAAACACTGAGCTTTTTGCGATTATATGTGGTTAATGGTGGTTAGGCAACAGCCCTGTATTCGTTGTACACATAACACATGAGGTGCAATGAGCCGGGGCTGGGCGGGGCAGCAGGGGGCGAGGCGTGTTCGGTTCGCCATGAGAGTATCGCGATACGTATCGTGGGTGGTGTATCGCGGTTTTTCGGTTCGGTTCAAATATCGTTACACCCCTACTAATTGAGATACTGAAATAAGGCACATCGGGACCGAAATCTAACAACAGTCCTAGGCCTATCGCGATTATCAATATATCGACTTATCGCACGATGCATATGACCTGACCTCGATATTTTTTGGTGACGCGATATATTGCCAATTATGTTCACATTTTGCCATTCGCGCTGTCATCTTGTCGGCTCTCTGTGTCGGAAGTGAAAGCGGGGCTCTTTTTTATTCACAGATCGGACATTGACAAGCGTTAGTGTTTTCTTGACAACTACAGACAGTTTGGAAGAATAAATCCAAATTAAAAGTCGCAATCCACTGTTCCGGTACATATATAGACCTCACAGTGCGAAATGGTGCACGCTCACAGCTAGTGTTGTTTCCCACGGGACGCGGCAGTCGCGAGTGTTTAATTCATTTTCACAGAGAACGCGTTTTTTCCCCTATTGTCTATGTAAACGGACATGTTTGATTGTTGCACTCACGGCTTTTGCAGCTCAAGTTAAAAGAAGTAAAAATTGTAAAAAAAAAAAAAAAAAAAAACACGCCTCTAGAAAAATCTGTAGAAGGAAAAACTGTGCATTTGCAGGGGGGTTTTCTACTTGTTACTTGTGCACTTTTTGTTAGAAAATGTTTTTTTTTCATGTAGGATATTTATTCTTAATAATTAATAGAATTATTAACAATAAGATAGTTTATTACAATTATTTCTGGGACAATATATCGGCCAAAAAAAATGTGTTATCGTGACAGGCCTAACCAGCCCTAATATTATTATTTTTTTATTTCGTTAATTTTTTTGACCTAATAATTAATAAAAAAATAATAAAATTAAAATGTTTATGTTGGTATATATTACTATATCATTTAAATTTTATATAAACAAATTTTATTTCAGTAATTGTTCAGCATATTTATTTGACAATTATTAAATTAGAAATAAAAAAATGAAATTGAATTATATGGAAAAGATCATTTGAACTTTATTACTGAAAATTGTTAACTGTAAACTGTAAAAGCAGTGCACTCAGTAATCAGTAATCACTAAGAAGAATACATTTTCAAATGAAGACAAGTATAGCACTAATTTTACATAAAGAACCAAGTGAATATGACATGAATACGACATAGCAGCCAACTGGATACAGCGAAGCAGATTTAAATCGTTGATCGTGTCGCTTTCAAAATAAAAGTCCTACTTCCGACACATTGGCCAACCAGAAAAACATACCGCCTGATGCGATAATTAAAAAATGCCAATCATCCAATATATCAGCCTTGGCTATTTATCAGTCGACCCTAGCCTGGATTGTTCGTCGTTGGGCTTTACTCTTACTTACCAATGAAGATGCTGCTCACGTAGACTGGCTCAATGAAGTGGCTCAGTAGCGCCCCCTGGAAGCCCAACACCTGCCACTGCATGATCTTATCGGTGGCGGACATACTGACGACATGCGAGCCCATCTGCTCGTACGAGCTGGAGAACTTGGAGAAGACCTTCCCTTCCACCACCACATGAAGGCCGATCTGATTATTCACCTCCCATGCAGAGATGGACAGAGGATTGAGGCGGCTAGAAAACAAAGGACAACAACTGTGATTTAGTTTAACTAATTCGTACAATTTGTATACCTGATTTCATTTTTGTGAAATGTTTTGCATTCAAAGTTTATGTTTGTGCTATATTTCTTCAAGATAAATGCCACAATGCGTGCATGCACAAATGAGGAATAAAAAAAAGCTCACGCTCGACCAATTAAAAAGAAAATGTTAGATTTTAACCCTATAAAGCCCGTTTCATATTTGATTTGAAAATTTCTTAGGCCTGTAAATGATCTATAAAGCTATAAATCCTGTTGCACAAAATCTACTACATGCTTCTTGTATTGTTTTTTTTTTTATTCTACAAACTTCCACCTTCAGCTCGTGGTTCACGTGTCTTTTTGCTGTAAAACAATAACTTTTATATGGTTAGTAATAGTAATATATTAAGATGAGCATTCACTGGACTGAAGCAACTTAGGTTTACTTGATTATCCATACATTTATTTCTAGAAAAGTCATGTGTAAATGTGAGTATCAAATATAATCATCAGGTTTATTTGTTCATCTCTCAATCATCATTGTATTGCATTATGTTTAAAAAACTATAGAGATTTGATCATACAACTAAACATTTAAATATCATCTTACCAAGACATTGTCAGATATAGAGTGACGACATTTTATTTAAGTATCTGCTATACTGTTATAAAGATGCACTTACATTACAAGCATCATAATTTCATCTTACCTTATGGCCATATAAATATCAGCATCTGCACCAAATTGCATATCTTTTCTCATTTTGTGCCTCTGAATAAAATTGAGCTGTTTTTTCCTCCTCTAGTTTGAGCTCCATATTCTCACTATATCATATGATACTGAACGAAAAACAAATGTGCAAACTTTTTCTTTTAGATTTTGTCTTTCATATGATGTCAGGCTTTACAGGGTTAAAGAAGAGCAGGATACTGGGCCTTCATCAGACCTGACACTTCATTTACAGGTGAAACTCGAAAAATTTGAATATCGTGCAAAAGTTATTTCAGTGATTCAACTTAAAAGGTGAAACTAATATATTATATAGACTCATTACATGCAAAGTGAGATATTTCAAGCCTTTATTTGTTATAATTTTGATGATTATGGATTACAGCTTATGAAAACCTTTTCACAATATTCTTATTTTGAATTTGGGGTTCATAAGCTGTAAGCCATAATCATCAAAATTATAACAAATAAAGGCTTGAAATATCTCACTTTGCATGTAATGAGTCTATATAATATATTAGTTTCACCTTTTAAGTTGAATCACTGAAATAAATGAACTTTTGCACGATATTCTAATTTTTCGAGTTTCACATACAGAGTGAATTTTGCATCTTCTCTCCTTTATGTCTATGTAGATGTATGTGTGTGTGTGAGTGTGTGTACAGTTGAGAAGGTATCTGTGCTGCTCCTTTGGGCAGTTGGCTCAGGTACAGGTGTAGATTGATGTGATTTTTGAAGCTGAGGAGCTTCGTGGTCTGGTCCTGCTGAAAGATGGACTTCTCCTCCAGAGCAGTATTCTTACTGAAGAACAGCAACAGATTCCTATACAGAAACCTATGGCACATTCAAAAGACATTTTAAATTCCAATCATCTGTGCTTTAAACAGTCCTTTCAGAAAAACAGAGTTTTTTTGTGATTGTTGGGGGCAAAAATCCTTGATTATGCGTCCCGTTTTCTTTAAAAATGCGATGGAATATGCGGGATATTTATGCAATTTTATGCGATGAAATTGCGGGAACTTGCAAAAACTGTGGTTTGATGAGGCTACTACCTTAATGTAAAGAGTCATTTCTTATTACTTCCTATGATAAGCAAGCATATACATCACAGAAAGTGCTGGGAATATTTAAAGGTGACCTATAATTCAAAATTGAATTTACCTTGGTATAGTCAAATAACAAGAGTTCAGTGCATGGACATGACATAGAGTGAATCTCAAACTGGACTGTTTTCGCATTCTCATTTAATTCACGTTTATGAAAAACACCCCTGAAAAACGGTCGGTTCTCCACACAATACCGACTGTGACGCAATAGTCGGGATCATTAATATGTACGCCTCCAAATATTTGCATAATGCCAGCCCTCAATGCCAGGCGGAACTGCGCAGCCGAAGCATGGCAGTTGCTCAGTGTGGATGTACACATGAACACAAAAGTATTTTTTAGTTCCTTCATCTGAGCCTCTGAAGAAACAATGGGTTAATTTTATTTTCTCTGGAAATTTCCAAACATTTCACCGAGTGTTTCGTCAACTTGGGCCAATACAGAGCTGGCCTCGGATCGAGCTACCAAGCTGATGTGTAATTGTTCAAGTTCAGACAGGTAATCTTTCTCTCAAAATCGTTCAATACTGTTTATGCATCAGTAAGTCAAGCCAGTGACTAAAATATCAGCTTCACATCGTTTCTTTTAGTAGGATGAAAATAATCGTATTTAAATTGTGAACAAATTATATACAGAAAGCGATCAAAGAACAATCTTTCCACACAGCGCGAGTTTATCTGGACACTTGCCAAACTCGTTATGAAATCAATGACGCACGTTACTGCACAACGAAGCTCTTACTGTATTTACATCATCGTGTTTGCATTGGTGAAAGCAGAGAGAGTGCAGAAACTGCTTTGCAATGATTAGATCTTCATTCTCGCGATCAACACACTGTCATCTGCTCAATGCTCATCACGGCAACATTTTATGTGATGGGAATAGATCTAAATACTTTAAAAACATCTCACGATTCGTTAATCTCGATAGCTGTTATAGTAAAAACGTATAATAGCAGTAGTAAAAGTATTCGGGAGAGAGTTTCACATGTAATGCGTTGCTATTTCATATGCAAGCATGTCAGCCAATCACAGCAGTGGCCGCGGTTACACTGAATCCCACAGCCAATCACAGCAGTGGCCGCGGTTACACTGAATCCCACAGCAGACACGCCCCTTCAAACAGAGTGTTCAAATCAGAGGCTAAAAGCAGGCTAGGAAAAATGCCATTTATTTCTAAATTATGAATATTTTTTATCTAAAAAACATACTAACATTATAAGGGTAACCCAGGAAACATTATAAAATAATAAAAAAATACATTCTAGGGCACCTTTCAGTTCTCATCTTGTTTTATTTCAGACCTAAATAAATACATCAAACTTATAAAACAAACAAGTTCTGTAGCTTTACAAAAGGAATATGCTACAACTTCTGTAAAAATGAATAAATAAAATATTTAAAAAATAAAGTGTGCTCCTGTTTTACAGCTTTTCGATGATGTTCCCGTCGCGTAATTATGTCACTTCATAACGTTCCCATGCGAACGGGGGGAAACGGCTGCTCTCATGTGAAGCAAACTTTTTTCCAACGAAAATGCGACGATTATGAAATCATGCAAGCCCTGCATATCTTGCACGGGAATCGGCAATTTATGTGGCGAAAGTGCGGCGTATTTGAAAAAATGCGACCCCTGCATAAATATACGGACTTTGGCTGAATATGCACTGAATCATGCGCTCGCATAATCGCGTTTAAATCAAATACAGACTAATTAATGAACTTATATTTAGCTAAATAGGTTATCTGTAGAGGAGTCAAAATGTTTGCTTTGGATGGGATAATCATATAAACTCCAAGGCACTTTCTTTAGAAAGATTATGGCTTGGTCATCTTAAACCTTTAAACACGTTTCGGCATACAAGCCTTCATCATGGAGTCAAGTTATATTTGGCTATTTCGAGTTTGGTTGACCAACAGAAGTGTTTCTTCTAGCATTTAAGCAAAAAGCCTTCAGTTTACAAGGTTTTTTGATCAAGAGACATGCATTTATGACACACAAACCTTTGACTGGTAGGATAAACAAAAAGCAAACCACAGCTTTTTGGACAGTGCAAGATATTCTCTGAACTGGCCATCAAAGAGATGATTAATATGAACATCAATGCTGAAAATCCATGTACCTCATTAGTGATCTCCGGGCAGTTACTACTGCGTGTGAATCATGCAGGATTCGTCCTGTCGGTGCTGGACTGGCTTTGGTATTAGAACCGCCAGTACCAAGAGCAACAACCTCACATCCTGTGGCTGCAGACGAAACACAGGACAGTATGGATTATAATTATTCAACCACAGACTGACAAGAACCGCATTTTAAAATGAGTCAGATGATACATTGCAAAATCTCCATCTACAAGTGGTGGTTGCATTTTTTTAGGGGTGAGTTACGCACCAGAGACCTCTTCTGCTTTCTTCAACACATATTTCTTCAGTGTGTAATGTTGATGTTTGAGCATGAAAAAGCTCTGCAAAGTCACACAGTTCTTCTCTATATCAGTGTCAGTGTTTCTGAACTCCATTGTAGTCTTGAGTTTCTTCCGGGAACGAACACGTCACAATATTCCTCATTTAAATAATTCATACGCAGAATAATAATAAAGGGGCGGGGCCTGGTTGAGTTAGTTAGTAATGTGTTAAACTGGCGGTTATGGGAAGGGGCGGGACATTTCCCAAACACACTCGAAGCGCTCGACCAATCACAACACACTGCTCCAGCCGACCAATCAGAGCACAGTGTGCTTTTCAGAAGGAGGGGCTTCATAGAGACAGGAACTAAACCAGGGATGGCTAACTTTAAACATGACAGCCTTTAAATATCTGGACCATAATATACCCTGATGATACATTTTAAAACATTTGAAAGGTGAGTCACGTATATAAATTAGAGCATAGTATGTGCATGCTAATGTGAACCTTCACCAAGATGAGCAAAAAGAAACGAAAAATTGACAATGAAAGAATATCTTTTTACCGAGTTCAATATGTTTAGTTAGTTTGGGAACGCAATCTACAATTAAAGACTTTAATTGACAATGTCATTACACCAATGCACACAAAGAGAGAAGTATGAAAGATACAGCGGCGGTGACGCCAGAGTTGTTCTCACATCTCAGCTTTAAAAGGTCAAATACATCATCTACAAAACATTTTTGCCAAATGCAGGACAGAAATGTATGCATAATGTTCTTTAATGCTTATATTTTTATTCATGGTAAAATGTAATTTTGAAGAAAAGCCAGGAACTCACACCTCGCCAAACGAGGTGCATAGACCAAAAACTCAAATTAGGGAAACACTTCAAAAAAGCCTGCACACTAACAATAAAAGAGAACCACCAATTGCAAGATTAAAAACCACTGCTTTTCTGAAAAATGTGGCGAACAATTTGGTCACATGTGACCTATTTAATCATGTGACTCCTTATATTAAGATGGCTCCAGCACTGAGTATTGTTAACTAGGCATTGAGAAAGGTGACGTGACCGAAACGTTTGCCACTTTTCCATTAAAGCAGTGGTTGTTATCTCACAATTGGTGGTTTCCCTTCATCGTGGCACCACTTTCAAACAAACCCATCAAAACACAGGTAGCATTCAGGCAAATCTAACTGCCATTTGAGAGTGTCTCCCAATTCCCTTCCTTTTACTGTAAATGTTTCCAAAAATAGCTTGTCAACACCCATGACCTCACGGCTTCCTTGACCATTTTGCTTGTCAAATATCCTGTGGATGTTAATACGTACCTATATCATTAAGAATCCTCCAACATTTCCTGTTTTAGTTTGTTTGGTTAGGTTAATTTCATCAAACGAATGAATAATGATTAAAGGGCCAAAGGAAATCACACCATTGTTGGCTTTACTAAGAGATTAACTCTGGAAATTCCAATCTGCCTACACACATCTTTAAGTGCCCCCATGATATTACAAATGCAACAAACAGGTGCCATTTGTTTAAAATATCACATACGACTATGTTAATTCTAGAAATAAACACTAGACGTCTCCATTTCATAAAGCTCTAATTATATTTAATGTCAACAGTTCCCATAATGTTCTGCCGTAAGTGCTATTTCCCGAAACCGTCTTTGAGTAGGAAGTGCTCGAGTTTGAACGAGACAAGTTCATTCTTCACATGTTTGCTCTGTCGTACTCCTGTCTGCCCCAATGACCTGCCCATGTCTGACATGTGTTTATATTTATCGCCATCTCTGAATTTCCCACATTTATTGCCACACCATGCCCTTTTCATTTGTTAATGATTGCTGGATAAGGATTACTGTAATAACTGTGCAGTTTATAATGAAGGTGAAGTTCCCCGAAAAGTGTGGCTCTTACAGTTTCAGAAACACCATCAAACAATGAGAATAAAGTATAGATGTAAACCCCACAAAACCCATCCATGGTCATCTAGATTCGTTTGGAGACCTAATGCAAAATATATGCAATTATGTGTATTAATTTGCACTTTATGCAAAATAATGTCTGTTTCACAAGCGTTTGATGTTGCCATTGTTGTAGAGGGGAATCTCATAAAAAAGGAGTATGGAAAAATGTTCATGTCACTTTTCCCCTCTAACTCATAAAGAAAGAGATTACATTTACTTTTTTCATTGCAACATGACTTTTTCAAGACAATTAATCCAATTTATGCTAACAGTATTCAATTTTTGTTTTTGTTTTAGTTCTTATCATTTTATTTTTTTAAATAAATTATTAAAATTGTTTAAATCAACATAAAAGGTAGGATAGCAACAACCATGATGCATTCTGAACTGGCGTGGTGTGTGAATCTCCTGTCTGAGTGACAGACACACACCGGACTCATGCTTGAACGGACAAAAGTATGCCCAAATGCCTGCTTTGTCGAGTATCCTCGTAAACACAGTCTTCAATTAGTTAAATAAACTCTTAAAGAGTTGTGAGGCCATGGGATATGAGTCAGATCTGCATCATGTGCTTCAGTTCTTAAAGCGACAGCAGCCTAATAAACCTGGGGTGTGCGTCATTAATGTAAATCAAAGAACAAAAGACAAAGAGAAAATCACTCACTGCTCTTGAGTGAATAACTTTTGTAGCTTTAATAGGGATTAATCTATATTTAATAGGGGTGAAACGATATCCTCATGTCACGATTCGATACATATCACGATGCGATATTGTTGCGATACTCCAAGACATATGGCAAAAGGTTAAAAATGTTACTGTTGATTAAAATGCTAAATTTGGTATTACACTGGGGTGTAAATGAATAGGCTTGGACTTAGTGCAGGTAAACCAAAGCACAGGACAATAGAGACACCAGAATACACATATTCATGATTCTGAAGCTGAAAATGCAGAATTATTATAGATGAATATGCTTGATCTCTGTTACTGACTAGATATATTTAAAATAATGTAGGCCACTTTTTACTGGTGACATTTGGCATTATCAGGACCCACAAATATTCCCCCATTGCATTATTATACATTATATTCAACATTATTTATAGTAGTTTAATGTAGTACTGACACTAAAACTCTGAAGATTTTTTTCTCACAGAAATTTTCATTTTGGGTGAACTATACACAATACATATTGCATGCATTTTTGTATTGCGATATATTGTGACACAATATATTATTAAACCCCTACTATTTAAATTATAATTAATGCAGTGAAGTGTTTGATAACTTTATATTATTATTCTACATTAGTCTGGAGATGAACTGAAATTATTATAAAAATATTTAAAACTTTAATGTTAGGTGCGATTAATCGCACGTAATTACAGAAAAATGGGAGATTAATTGCTTAATTTTTTTAATCGATTGACAGCACTAATATCCAGATTCTGTGCAGGACAGATTATAAGGCAACAAGGAACATCTTAAATGTCACATGACGTATTAATACAAATCCCACAAAGAAAAACCTGTGGTCTGACATCCTGTGCGTCTGACTTACGAGAGAGCATGACAAATGCAGCCACTGTTCCGCCACAGCCAGTGAATTCTGGGTAACTGTCCATTAGCTTGGTGAACATCTCCTTCACCACGCTGGGTACCTGATCCTTGATGGGGTTCTTTCTTTCTGCGTTAAACCAACCGAAATGAAATTATTAGTCAGGTTCAGAAATATTTCCGATTTCGACATGATTAGACGCTCTAATGTCAAAGGTTACTATGGCTAAAACATCTGAGCATTTATTATAGCTTTTCTGTACAGGGGCAATTAAATACATGCAGACTGACTTTAAGAGTGTATTTACCAATCACAGCTCTTCCAGAATGGATTTCTTGGATTGGGGAGTCCTTCTCTCTTACTGGCAGAGGAGGTGGCCCCTCTGAACAAAACACACAAACAAAAGATACCATGAGCAGTGCTTGTCCATGCAATGCTTGCGAACACAAAGATTTGCATTTACTAAGAAAGTGCAGTTTTTTTTGTGATGGCACTGCTAGGTGTTTGACCACCAAATGGTGCGAGACATATGCACTCAAGACTTATGCACTCGTGTTTATTATTAGGCTTAGTAGTTTGTTTAAATCCCCAAGCCTAACTATGAACCACAAGTAAAAAAAAAAAAAAAGTCAAATAATAAAATGCGTCCTTGCTTTATGCGATCGCGATATAAAAAGATAGATAAGATTAAATTCCAGAACCACCCTGATGTGTGAATGTGAATTTTTTTTTTGCATTAAAAAAAAAACAAATGTTACACCCCCACCTCAAACAGGAAAGAGCTTCACCACGGTTTCAGTGAATGACTATGGGGTTGTTTCGATGGGAGGGAGCACAGCGAGGATGTTCTCTTTCATCTGGGGAAACTTTCACATTGAATTTCGAAGTTCGCATATTTACATTAAAAATGGAAGAGCTGACTAAGTGCTTGCATCGATTCTATGGAAAGTGTCAAACAGAAGGTCACACGATTTCTTCCTATTATTTGCAAGAAGGCTTGCAAACCAGACCATTAATGAAAACAAACAGTGCCAGGAACAATACCATATTGCTAAAGTCAGCTGTTTTTACCTTTTATTTTATAAATAAATACATATTGTTTGTTGTTTCTCATTTTTAGATACACTATTCCTTTAAATATCTGATGAGTGGCAAATGATAATGATTAAAATAGTGATTTTAGAATTTTTTCATGTTTTTGAAAGCAGTCTATTAGGCTCACTAAGGATGCATTTATTTGATCAAAAACTCAGTACTAGTTTTATTTTAAAGATTTTATAATTTATTCCTGTGATGCAAAGCTGAATTTTCAGTATTATTACTCCAGTCTTCAGCGTCACATGATTCGATATAATCATTCTTATGAACTTTTAAACTTATTTTAATGCATTAAATGCAAATCTTGCATTCCAGTGTAGTGCATATTCGGTGTCAGTTTAGGTCTCAATTAACTTTATCGTCACAAGAAATATCGTCATAATAAACTAATTGTCCTCAATGAATTACTGAACATTTATGACAACACACTGTGAGTGTTTTACTGGTATATGGTTAAAAATATGCCTTCATTAAAGTAAAACATGGCCCAGAAAATCAATTCCAGTCGGGCCAATTTCAGACTAGCAGTAATTTATGGAGGAAGTCTAGAAAAAGTGCCAGTCGGTTTGACTTTGTTGTGCCCCCTTCTGGTGCAGATTTATAATATGGAAATATGGAGTGATGTTTGATATCAAAATGCATCTCAATCAATCATTTTTGATTCTCATTGAATAATTTGCTTTTAATAAGCATATTCAATATTTAATAAGCATAGTTGCCAGATTATTACCGGAAACATCCGAGGGTATCCCATCATTCTCTAGACTTGCTATGAGCTCTTCAAGGGCCAGTTCAGACGCTTTGGCCCTGGCTTCTTTCTTTGTGATGCCCATTCCAGTCTTATACTGGATTCCATCAATCACAGCACAGAACGCAAAGTAAAACCCCGTAACTCCTGCTGCTCAGAAAACAAAGAAAACAAATGTTGAATGCATCTATGAACTGGACGATGCACTTAGTAAAATCTAGAGATACAAGGAAATCTGCTGGTTACCAGTTGTAACGGTTTCTTTCAGATCCAGTTGAAACTGCAAAGTTTGAGAGAGCTGGTACAACGCCGACACCGGATGTGTATCTCCCCGCTTATATCTGTCGATCAATTCACGGGGAAGGATTTTCTGTTTGGAATCTGCAAAGGAGACAAAAGTGACAGAGCACAATATTGACATACCGTAAAACTTCAAATAATAGCCGAGTCCCAAATAGACGCCTGTCTCTTTTACACGCCTGGTGTGGCTGCAGGTTTGGGTAAATAAAGGCCGGTCTCAAATGGAGGCCGGGTCTGTTTTTTAGTTTCGGGTTGTATTTAATCTTCTAAAACCCGTCAGATCGTCCACTTTTTGGCGGCCGCCGAAGCAAATTTTTGTCCCGCCAAAGCCTTTTTTGATCGGTGAAGCCCCGTTTACACTACAAGCGACAAAGCGACACGATACCATTCATTTCAATGGGGAGCGGGCGATTTCCGGCGACACGCGCAACAGCGACCGTTGGCGACCGGTGGGGCGTGTCTGGCGACGCGACAAAATTGAGATCTGTTTAACTTTATGCAAATGCAGAGCAACTTTCGGGAGCGACAACCAATAGGAGTGAAGTCAGTGGAGCGCGTCACTCTTCAGTGCTGAGTCTGACCGAGGCAAGTTGAACGAGAAGGTAATTTTAGCAGTCAGAAACTGTCCTATTATTTATTTATGATATATCTCCGTGTACATACAGTGGTATTCACCGTACTGACTCCGTGCCTGAAGTGTTTCGGGAACCCAGATAGACCGGTATTTGCCCGTTTGCTGCAGTTAAATAGCCGCGATGGCAAAGAGCACTCGCTGTTTCTCATTCATCTTTAATATTATGCATTTTATGTACTGATTGATTCCATTTATATTAAGACTTTTCCTTCCAAAATATTTGTTTGTAGCGGCAAGAAAACGTATTTGTTGTCTAACATAGAGTCCGTGAATGTCACTCACAAACATTACAAGGCAACCAGTAGTGGGAACGCCCTCCAGCGCAGCCACTGGCGACCTGTAGCGACAAAGTCGCTTGTAGTGTGAACGGGGCTTGAGTGATGTGGAATAGAGACTGCTGCGCTTGACGGGGCGCATAATGAGCAGAGAGAGAGAGAGCGCCCCGGCCGCGCGCGCACTCACGTCTTCAAACAACACAAGCGCTCTCTTGCTCTCTCTCCCTCGCGCATATTAATCAAAATCAATTGACGCGATAGTAAAAGGTCGGAAGACCGCAGTTTCACGTGGAGCATTTGGAGATTTTTAGAGATTAGAGACTCTAGGCCTACACTCAATGAACAACATCTCAACACTAAATTATAAAGGCCTGTCTCATATAGACGCCTGTCTCAAATACAAGCCGGTGCAGTTCGACGATTTGGGAAAATAAAAGCCCGGGCTATTATTTTAAGTTTTACGGTAATGTGATTCAATGCCTAAGTGACTGAAGCTGATAATAACACAGTCCTTAAAAACACTACTATTCCAGATGACCCTGTTGACGCTGGTCTAAACAGTCCTTCCAGAAAAACGCGGAGTTTTTTTGTGATTGTTGCGGGCAAAAATCCTTGATTACGCGGCCCGATGAAATTGCGGGAACTTGCAAAAACTGCGGTTTGATAAAAAAAAAAAAAAAAGTGATTCCCCCAACACCCTGTTCTCACTAGGCTCCTACCTTAATGTAAAGAGTCCTTTCTTATTACTTCCTATGATAAGCAAGCATATACATCACAGAAAGTGCTGGAAATATTTAATTTCTCATCTTGTTTTATTTCAGACTGTAACGAGTGCAAATAAGGTGTGGCCCCTTTAAGAGCTGCGCGCTCCCTGTTGAACTGTCTGCAGGAACGTTATATTGTATGTGCGCCTCGAACACCCCATGTGTGCGGGTAATTTCTGTTTGATGCTACTTCTTTTATCTTATTTTGTTTATTAAGTAACAATGTGGACGGTAGAACGTGTGACAGACAGTTATACGAGTTCGATTTGGGAATAAAGTACGAGTTGTCTCCGTGAGTCTGTCTGGCCTCTGCAATAACTTCAGCTGGGAGCTATCCCTATTTTTCTTCCCGACACAACGCGTTACAAGACCTTAATAAACACATCAAACTTACAAAACATTGATGAGTCAAACAAGTTCTGTAGCTTTACTAGAGGAATATGCTACAACTTCAGTAAAAATGAATAAATTAAATATTTAAAAATAAAGTGTGCTCCTGTTTTACAGCTTCTCGATGATGTTCACGTCGCGTAATTACGTCACTTCATAACGTTCCCATGGCAACAGGGGGAAATGGCTGCTCTTGTGTGAAGCAAACGCAACATTTTCCAACTTTCTGCTAAGATATATGTGACTTTTTTGCAACGAAAATGCGGGGATTATGAAATCATGCAAGCCCCGCATATTTAGCGCGGAAATCAGCAATTTATGCGGCAAAATTGCGGAGTATTTGAAAAAATGCGACCCCCGCATAAATATGCGGACTTTGGCTGATTATGCACTGAATTCAGCGATCGCATAATCGCGTTTTTCTGGAGGGACTGTCTAACTGTGCCTGGCCTGGAGTTTGGGTTCCTCGCCACTGTCGCCTTTGGCTTGCTTAGTTGGGGACATTTAATATTCAGTAATATTGTTGATTTGACTGCACTGATACTATCAGATGAGAACAAAACCTGAACTGAATTGAGCTGAATAACGACACTATTGACTTCTGCAGAGCTGCTTCATAGCTCATTCGACTTCATTTCATAATTGATGAATTTTGCTAATTGACAAATTATGCAACATTGACACTATTATTGAACTGACTCGAGCTGAATGACATGAAAGATGCTTTACAGTAGAATTTAAATGCGTTTAAACTTTTTATATTTTATTAATTTGATCATTGATTTTGTTACTGTACCTTCCTGTTTATTACATTGAAGCTGCTTTGAAACAATCTGTACTGTATAAAGCACTACATAAATAAAGATGACTTGATTTGACTATTTCTGCACAAATATACAAAGATTTTTTTTTTATCTTTGTAATCTTGTCTCTGAAATGACTTTCATTATCACTTGAGGTCACGAAGGCTACGTTCACTGTGGCCAATATCGGATTCCAGTGTGAACAGATCTATGTGAACTAAAATAGGATGCAAATGCCATTTCATGTTGACTTTAAAACACAAATGGAAACACAATGGAAATTAATTTGCCTAAAAAAAAAGCAATAGTTAGTCTATCAAGAAATAGAAAAGAATGAAAGAAAGTAAGAATAAACGCTTAACTGATTTTGGTGCTCAATGGTTGTCCAGGAAGATATTTGTTGTTGTTGTTGATGTCATTGAAAGGTGAAGGAGATGAGATGTTTGTCCATTGGCTGTGGGTCAGGCTGGACCCTCTGGAGGACGCACCCCTCATCATCATCTTCATCTAACAGCTTTAGGGACAGAAACACAAAAAAGAGAGATCATAAAGTTAGCTAAATATTAGAAAGAAAAGACAAAAAACTACATGCAACTCACATCAGAAATTATATAATAGATTTTTTATCAAGCAGGTGCTGATGATTTTATGGATGGTTTTAATAAATGATGATAATGATGATTAGCCTATTCGGTTAGCCTTTATGAAAATTAACCATGGTTTTACTACACATGAAACGAAACAAAAACATGATTTTTGTAGTTAAACCATGGTAACCACAAATTAACTATGGTTTTGCTACACTAAAAAATAGTTTAACCATGGTATTTGTAGTAAAACTATTGTTTTACAAGTGGTAATCAATCCGCCAGAAAACCATGGTTACTAAACTTTTAGCATCCATGGTTTTAATAAATTGATCATGATGATGATTAATCGGTTAACATTAAGAAAGAGCGCGTGACCCTTCACACAAATTATTTGACGACGTTTAAATTCATGTATTAGTTTGCAAACTCCCATAAAACACATTCAAACTAAACCCATAAAGAAAGTAACGTTAGTGGCACCTGACAGGTTAGGGTGAATAAGTTAGGTTGTTGTTTTTTAAACGCCGATTGAGATGCTAGTCACGATGCTAGCGCGCTAATTTAGCTGAACTAAACAATAAATACAAACTTATATTGATCGTGAATTATCATAACTGATTGATGAAGCAGCAAATGTTATCGTTTTATCTTTAAAAAAACACAAAAACAGATTAATTCACATTCACGTACACATACGCTCAGGCGCTTACCCTGATTCGCTCACAACACAACTGAATCTGAATCCGAATCAGAATCAGACCACAACCAGACAGATTCATATGTAAACGATAACGTTAGTAAATTATGGAACGCCATTTCCGCCACATATAAGCGGGAAATGCTTTGGTAAAACATAATTATGACATAAAAAGTCAAAATTATGACTTTAAAAGTCATAATAATTATTAGATTCGAAATATGCTAATTGTCATAATTAGGATACATACATGCGAAATTAGTAAATAAAAAATAATAATTATGACATAAAAGGTCAAAATGAAGACTTTAAAAGTCACAATAATCCTGAGATAAAAGTCGAAATATACTAATTGTCGTAATTATGAGACATAAAGTTGCTATGACTTTTTAAATCATAATTTCGATTTAGTATGTCATAATTTTGAATTTTTAAGACTTAGTAGCCTATGCTATAATTTTGACATTACTTTTTATTTCATAATTTTAACTTTTTATCTCATAATAATATAGTTTTATATTATAAAACTATGTTTAGTCTTTTTATGTCATCATAATTAGGTCTTTTCAAGTAAAAATTTTGACACATCACATAATTTTGACTTTAAGACTTTAATTATGACTCACAGAGCATGTTTTTTCTCTCTCTCTAATGTGTGGGAAAAGGGCTTCCAAGGGGCACATGCTTTTATCTATCTGCATGAGATTTCTTCACACACACAAATGTATATATTCTTTTAAAAGCTTAACCACATAATTATTTCTTCCCCCTTTTTTCCATTAATGGCAGCCCAGTACAATGACCCGTGAGTATAAAAGTGAAAGTGATGGGCTGTTAAGGTCACAAGGAAGTAACATTAAAACCGGATGTGCATTTAGGGACAACAAAGGGGTTTTTAAACGGTTACTCATGAAAACAGTTTTCCAGAGATGTGTATGACTCAACACTCTGTGCAACAGGAAAGCAATAGGCCTTTTTTCATGCTCTAAAAATAGAAGACCTTTATTAACCACAAAAAAACGCAATGTTGACATCAGAAGATGAAGGGACAAATGTTGCATGAGCCACATGCTTAGATTGGCAATCTTTTCAAAGATGATCTCAGAACAATCTGTTGCCAAAAACAAACACAAGATTTCAACCTGTCCAAAATCCATGTTATTTATTTATTTATTTATTTAACTGTTTGGACTATTTATTCAGACATTCATCCAGTCAATAATGGCTAAAAAAGAGGCTCAAATATAATATTATTTTAATTTGTTTAATGTTTTTGTTCACAACATAATTCCTATTAATCCATTTATGTCATACTTTTGATTACTTAACCTGGGTATTATCTCTTCAATTCAGTTCATTTCCATGCGTTTTATTTTATTATTGTGGTACAAAGCTTTAATTCATAAATTAATCATAAGTGAAATGATATCTGATCTAATAATTAAAACCTTTATTATTTTTTCCAAAAATAAAATACTGTTACTATATCAGAAATGGATGATCAAAACAATAGATGCAAAATCTTCACGCTGTGTATATAGCCTCAGAAAGGCCTCAGTTTAGCTCATTGTGTCAAATGCATGTATGAGAGTATATAAATCCTTGGATAATTGAATGTTTATCAGCAAAGTGGAAACATCTGTGGTGTTTTTGACGGTGGAGTCCTATGGTGAGCAAAAGAGCAAGACATCCTTCCTCAAAGCCCACACACTAATATTGATGCCTGGAAACACCTCTATAACGTGACGTCTCTGATATCGTTCTCCTAACCTCTGTTTCCATGGAGACACAATCCTGATTCTGCTCTCATTGTTTTTTATCCTTAATAATTGAGTTGATTTGCAAATGCATTCATGCCCAAAGGGTGTTTTGCATGACCAGGCCGAGGGCGCAGGGAAAGGTGTGCAATGACATTCATGCAAAGTGCAGTGTAGGTGTTGGTTTGCTGTGGTTCATTGCTTACTCAATGGTATACAGTAAAAACAAACACCTCTGATGGATGGGTTGCAGATATTATCTTTAACCTAAATTATTTATATACATTACGTAGGAGTGGTTATTCCACTTTGTCGTCAGTCTTTGGCGATCTATATGATAAAATGTGTCGGGCATTTCAGCTTTGATGGGCGACAGCACAACCAGCGGAAGTCAAGATGTTTCCCAGTTATCATAAACATTTTCACACCTCAAGGTTCAAATATTTTCTTTTTCTTTCTTTTTCTTTTTGATATGTCACTGTGCGCACTAACTCCAGAAGACAGAAAAACTTGGAAAAGGGCCCAGACTGATGACTAACTGACGAGTTAACACATCTGAACATCCGCTCTGATAGAGATACTGTATCATTGAGACAGAAACAAGGAGAAATGCTGATATCTAACCCATGATATATTACCCCATGATCTGTTTTGGACCTGGATTTCGTTTAATATGGGTATAATGTATTGGGCATATGAGCAGAGAATTAATAAAACTTGAGAATTTATTTGAACTAGTTATATATATATTTATATATAATAAAATATATACACACACATATTTACATAAACTTTTATGTTAGATGCGATTAATTGATTTGATAGTACTAATTTAAACTATTTGTCTTCATTGAATTACTGAACATTTATGACAACACACTGTGGGTGTTTTACTGGTATATGGTTAAAAATATGCCCTCATTAAAGTAAAACATGGCCCAGAAAATCAATTCCAGTCGGGCAAATATTGTCCTTCAATAAAACAGCCAATTTCAGACTAGCAGTAACTTATGGAGGAAGTCTAGAAAAAGTGCCAGTCGGTTTGACTTTGTTGTGCCCCCTTCTGGTGCAGATTTATAAAGCAGAAGCTACTCCAATGCCGACACATATGAGCATTTTAGACAGAATTGCAATGCAATGGTTTCATGCAATGAATGTGATAATCTAAACACTGTCCCCTATCAGTTCTAGGAGCACCAAAATAAATAAATCAATTGTCAATAAAACAGTTAATTAAGTATACTGGAATGAGAGAAGTCAAAAGGTGGCCTTCTAGAAAAGGCACACGTGGAAACAAATGCAGAGTTGCAGAAATGTAGAATGAACTGGCAACGAACAAGGAGTCTGAAATATTTGATGATCAGATGATCACCTACATAACCTGACCACAAAAACACAGCGTGAGAATCTGAGAAGTCATTAAACAATTCACACCGACTGATCTTTTGTGGAGCTGATGCAAGAGCGCTATATTTCTCTGTGTACTTATCATATCGTTTATACACTGTCACACTGAAGACTGCAAGTTGAAATTGACATGCATTAATGCTTTTTAGAAAGGCTGAATTGAAAACACTTGAAGTTAATGTTTATTGGAGTTTGCACATTATATTTCATTGCTTTGGCATTTATTTTGATGGTTTTGGTTTCGTTTTAGCATCCTTTCAGTGACCTGCCCTCGACCTCTAATGTGGGCCAAGGTCCGAATTAACTCATCCTATGCCCCCTTTGCTTTATTTAAAATATGGAAGTCTTTCTTTCCGGACCAGCATCAGTTCCTACAGTCCAGACAATATGAGGATGCTATGATTCATGTCCTAATGAAACCCAAATGTGTTTCCACTTGTTGGTCTTTTCTGCAGAATGTGTCAAGGCTCTATTTATGCCCAAAAGTTATAAAAAGTTATTTTTCAAAACCTCAGATTGGGTTCCGTTCACAGAGATGAGAATGGAAGTTGTTAATATAATGTCTTTTTTTATGTGTAATGTATCAGGAAGTGCGCAAACATAAACGCTCATCAGGTTGAAAAATGTGATAATGAGATGTTTTAAAGAACTGAAAAGGAAACTGCCTGTTTGAGGAAGGACACAAATAAGTTTAGTAAGTGCCAAGTAGTGTAGTGTAGACCTTAATAATTGAATAGTGTGATTATTATTTTGTAAAAATGTAACATTTATCAATTCCACAGTATTCTGAAGTGCTACACATAAAACTGAGTTTGTTACAGCACTAATATACAAAATATTAATTACCATTCCACATTGTTGAAATCTTGCATAAAAAAATCCTCAGAAATATTTCTTATAACTTATACAAGGATGATCATGTAAAACAAAATCATAAAAAATCTAAAACAAAAAGTAAAAAATTAAGAAGGTTTCCAAAATATTGTGAAGGTGTCATGTTTTGGGGACATTCCTTTCAAATCTAAATTTACAATTTAGATTGGGGACTTTTATTATGTCTTTGGGT